GTATTTTTAGTAGAGGCGGGGTTTCACTGTGTTAGCCAGGACAGTCTCCATCTTCTGATCTTGTGATCTTCCCGCCTCGGCCTCCCAAAGTACTGGGATTACAGGTGTGAGCCACTGCGCCCAGCCTCTCTTGCATCTTTCTAACGCCATTTGGGCTAGGGCCCACTTGTCCAGGCTGTGCTGCTTCTGCCCCTTGTTTTATTTGCTCATTGTCATGGCTTTCAGGAATTTTGCCTTGTCTTTGTCCTCCTTTTTCTTCCTCTGCTTGGTCACACTGAGCTCTGCGATGCCTTTCAACTAAAGGGGTCCCCTCTGAACCTGCTTATAGGCTGACATGGCACCCGCCTGTAGTTTAGTAGGTAGGCTGCCCTGATTACTTATGTTAATGATCAAATTGCCCCAGATTTCACTATTGGATGCCCCTTTAAGCTGGCTCCTCTTGTCTATTGACATGTCCCATTATTCTTTGAATGCCTTTTTTTTTTTTTTTTGAGGTGAAGTCTCGCTCTGTCACCAAGGCTGGAGTGTAGTGGTGACATATCAGCTCACTGAAACCTCCACCTCCCAGGTTCAATAGATTCTCTTGCCTCAACCTCCTGAGTAGCTGGGATTACAGGCATGTGCCACCTCACCCAGCTAATTTTTGTATTTTTAGTAGAGACGGGGTTTCACCATGTTGGTCAGTTGGTCTCCAACTCCTGGCCTCAAGTGATCGGCCTGCCTCAGCCTCCCAAAGTGCTGGGATTAAGGCGTGGGCAGTGAGACAACACAGCCTGGGTAGCTGAACCAAGTCACCACTCAAGGTAGGAATGAAACATAAATCTTGTCCCTTTCTGAGCCCATTCCCCCAAAATCCCACTTCCAGACACTTCTAACGTGCATTGCCAGGCCAGGTATGGCTAATCAATCAGTCTTCTTTGTAATGGAACCCAGACACATTCTGCCTCAGAACCCTCATCTCTGGGCTCCAAGCAGCTTCTTGTATTTACTCAGAGTTAGCACATCACCTGGAGCCTACTTGGCATTCCCGCCTTAAGGACACCTCACAGGTGAAAGGACTATGGCAGAGCCCCATGGTAAACAGACATGGGAACAGCCAAACTGGAGGGTCCAGGTAGCAGCGCTGGTAGGCCATGGTGTTCGAGGGCCTGTGTGTCCTAGATGAGGATCAAACTACATACGCTATTGAGAGAAACGGTCTCTGCTGATACAGTAATTGAAATAACAAAGGCAGAAGAGAAAAATCGAGTATGGAGTTTGAGGTTGGCCTATGTAAACTACAGAACAAAGCAAAAAAAAAAAAAAACAGAACAAAAAAAACCAGTTATTTCAAAATAAAATATAAATAATCATAGTGATGAGTAAGCCACTGAATAAATAGGAATGCAAAAGTCCAAACTGATATAAATAAACGATTAAATAGAATCCTCATTAGAATGCCTACTAATAAATTTTGGTTTGGTTTTGTTTCTGAGATGGAGTCTCTCTCTGTTACCCAGGATGGAGTGCAGTGGCATGATCTTGGCTCACTGCAAACTCTACCTCCTGGGTTCAGGCGATTTCCTCCCTCAGCCTCCCTAAGTAGCTGGGACTACAGACATGTGCCACCCTGCCCAGGTAGTTTTTTTTTTTTTTTTCTGTATTTTTAGTAGAGACGAGGTTTCACCATGTTGGCCAGGCTGATCTGAAACTCTTCACCTCAGGTGATTCCCCTACACCTTGGCCTCCCAAAGTGCTGGGATTACAGGTGTGAGCCAATGCGCCCAGCCATAAATGTTTTTTTAAAGTGATGTATTTAGCTCCTCCTGCCATCTTGGCTCCTATGGAGGCCTGCTGGGAACAGGACTTCTAAAAGGAACTATGAATGGAAGGCTGTGGTCCAAGGCTGTTTTTGCCGGCTATAAGCGAGGTCTTCAGAACCTAAAGGGAGCACACAGCTCTTCTTAAAATTGAAGGTGTTTATGCCCGAGATGAAACAGAATTCTGTTTGGGCAAGAGATGTGCTTATGTATACAAAGCAAAGAACAACACAGTGACTCCTGGCAGCAAACCAAACAAAACCAGAGTAATCTGGGGAAAGGCATATGGAAACAGTGGCATGGTTCATGCCAAATTCCGAAGCAACCTTCTTGCTAAGGCTATTGGACACAGAATCCGAGTGACGCTTACCCCTCGAGGATTTAAACTAATGAAAAGTCAATAAATAAATGTGGATTTGTGCCCTTGTATTTTTGTTAAGTGGATTAAAAAATTTACCTTAAAAAATGATATATTTTGAAAAACCACCATTTAGCAAACTAAAATTAATGGAGTCAAGCAAGGATCACCAACGGACACTGAAATTAATGGATAAAAGTCTGACAAATAACTGGATATTTGTATAATATTAAAGTACATATTCAGAAACTACTTATTAATTAAAAGTGAGAAGAAAAACAGTAACTACAGCAGAGAGCCAGACAGACACCACCCTAATCCACATGATCAAAGCAGTGGTGTGCTAGAGCTCACTCCTACCAACCCAGGAAAGGGACATTTTCCAACCTTGCGTTCCATGATGACAGGCTCTATTTAGATATTTACAACACAGAATGGGGCAACAGCAAATGCCACAGATCAGGGCGACATCTCCCCTTCCAGAACCAGTTGTTAAATATTTATCAGCATCACACTGGATCAAAGTTTACCAGAAGGCAATTCGACTTTCTGTGCCTCCTGATATTTCACACTAAGAAGAGCACAGTATCACTTTTGTTGTATTCTGCCCAAAATGTAGGACCTCAATCTAGTGAGAAAACATCAGTGAGGGGGGAAAAAAAACTAGACTGAGAGGCATCCTACAAAATAACTGGACTGCACTGGCAAAACGTCAAGGTCAGTTGGGCACGGTGGCTCACACCCATAATCCCAGCACTTTGGGAGGTCAAGGTGGGTGGACCACCTGAGGTGAGGAGTTTCAGAGCAGCCTGACCAACATGGTGAAACCCCATCTCTACTAAAAATACAAAAAATTAGCAGGGTGTGGTGGCAGATGCCTGTAGTTCCAGCTACTTGGGAGGCTGAGGCAGGAGAATTGCTTGAACCGGGGAGATGGAGATTACAGTGAGCCTAGATTGTGCCATTGCACTCCAACCTGGGCAACAAGAGCAAAACTCCGTCTCAAAAAGAAAAAAAAAAAAAAAATCAAGGTCATGAAAGACAAAGATGATTGAGGAGATGTCAAAGACTAAAGAGGCAGAACAACTGAAAGCAATATGTGATCCTAATTGGATGCTAGGCCAGAAGCCTTTTATTATTAAGGACATTATTGGGACAACTAGTGAATAGAAATAAAATCTTTATATTGGAAAACAAACTAATATCAATGCTAAATTTCTGATTTTGAACACCGTACTATGGTTATATAATAAAATAATGTTCCAAATGCATACAAAAGCATATGGAGGAAAAGGCATAGTCTGCAGCTGTCAGGTGGTTCGCCAAAACTACTTTTTAAAGAAAGAAACATGTCAATAAAGGAAAATGTAGGTACCAGACACGTAGTTCTTTGTACTGTTCTGGGGACTTTTCCGTAAGTCTGAAATCATTTAAACATTAGGTTACAAAAGAAAAACCATGAACGCTACCTGGTCCTCTGCCCCCATCGCGAGGTCCACATGGCTGCAGTTGGAAGGAGGCGGTGAGCAACACGTTCTCCAAGGTCTCAAGGGGCCGCAAGGCCATGAGATCAGAACAGAAGTGAAGGCCACGTCCAGCACCCACCCGCCTCAAGAGCCACAGCCTCTCTCGGGTCTCCACAGCCTCACTCAGGTCTTAACGCGCAGGCTCAGGGATTGGCCACACCTGCCGTGACATCGCGTCTTTCCCCGGGTGCGTGTGCAGCTCAAGACTTTGCAGGAGGTGCACCTGCAGTAGCCCCACCGCCAGGTGAGCAGTGATGAGCTCTCATTGCCTCAGCCGGAGATTCCAACCACAATGCATGCACCTCTCCTCTGGCTAGCGCACGTTTCTGAAGGATAGCAAGAATCCTGGCCTCTGATGGCTGTCCTCTCCCCTTCCCCTCCAAGCCCAGTGTTGTGACCCTGTGCCCTCTTTTCCCTCAATTCTGGGCTCAGGAGTCAGGTACTAAGACTCACAGTCACAGAGGGAAGTCAGGAGCTCCGTTGTGAAGGCAGACTTAAGTAAATGCATCTTCTTCCAAAGCCTTCATGTTTTTCTTAATGTTGGCTTTGAGAGCCTAGTTTGTGGCCCAGGTGTTTCTGGCAGGATGCTGGCAGTCTTGGCCAATAGCAGCTGACCACTCCCCCACCCCCCTGGGGCGTGTTTCTGGGCTTTCCCATTATCAATTAGTTGGAAATTGCACATCACTGTGTCCTGGCCTTACAACAAACACCTGTTCTGATCTACAGCCTCTTGCTGAAGGAACACTAGGAGACAGACAGCGGATACACCGCAGGTATTTTTACACTTAACGTTTTCTGATGAAGCCTCATTCATAGGATGAAGCCGCTGTATTTGAATTCTGGGGTGAACACAATAGGTTGCACAGGGAACAGATTCAGGTGCTGCTAAATCTGTTGTGATTATCGTTGCTTTTGCAAGTTTCTTCATTCATCCTATGTAGATAAGCCAGGCTAGACAAGGAATCCATCGTTTAGCATAGTAACTGGCACACAGGAGGTGCTTGGTAAATATCTGAATGACTTTATAATGCCCTGCACATTCTGCAGAGTTGGAGTGATCACTCTCCAGATACCTGTAAATCTGGAAGTATTCTTCCCTATGTTGGTACTGTCATACTTCTTTAAAATGATACTTTAAAAAGAAACTGTGTTCTTCAAATACAGTGCTTGTGGAAGAAGTCCTGAGGTTCCCAAAAATCTCAAATACTGAGCAGTGAAAGGAGACTGAATAACAGAACTATAATCTGTGTTTTTATTCTGTATTCATAAAAATCTAATTATCACTTTTTCTCTGTATTTTTTTTTCTTATCCCCTTCCCCTGCAAAATAAAAAAATTCTGTAATGAAAAGTGTGAAGGAAAGACAATTGCTTATTTCAGTTGAGCAGATAGTCTTATCAAACAAATGAAGACAACGAACACATAATCGAGAGTGTGATGGGAGAGGGAAGACAAATTGTTTTTAATGATTCATGGCAACCACATTTATATCCTATTGTTACTAGAGAAAAAATGTCTTCAGATAACCAGTGGTCAGCAGATGAGGATGAAAGCCAATTATCCCGACTAATCAGGAAATCTAGAGACTCCCCCTTTGTCCCTATAGGTAAGTACAAGCTTTGGGAGGATGCTGGAAAACTGTAATAACATAATGATGCCTTACCCAGTGCCTCTGAGGACTGAAATGTCTCATATAATTGAATTTTTCCAGATAATTGAAGCTAACCTCCTCTAAACATGTGTTGAACTTTCAGAATAATTTCTAGTACATGGTAAGCCCCCAGTAAATGTTAGCTGTTATTTGAGGCATCAAATTTTATTCTACTTTATCCATTTTTTAGAAGTCTACCTAAAATTATCAATTCCTAGTCAGTCAGATGGAATAGACTGAATGAACATTAATGTTTCAGTCATAACTCAGGACTGTCAACAGCAGCATCAGTTTATTATATTTAAAGTCTGTTAGGAACCATTGAGATGCGTATGTCTCCTTGTCTTGTAAGTAATCTAAACTTTAAGTTCTTATGTCTTCTGTTTATAGATTTTTTCTGTTTCTTTCTTACCATTGGGCACATTAAAAACTTCTGCTTCTAAGCCAGGCATGGTGGCTCATGCCTGTAATCCCAGCACTTTGGGAGGCCGAGGTGGGAGGATTGCTTGAGCTCAGGAGTGCAGGTTGTAGTGAACCGAGATCATACCACTGCACTTCAGCGTGGGTGGCATGGTGAGACCCTGTCTCACAAACGAAAAACCAAAACTTCTTCGTCTAATGTTTTTAATGTTCTGTGGCACCAGAAGCTACATACCCAAGCTTGAAAGAACTGTGAGTCAATTCAGAGGAAAGCTCTGAGTAAAAGCCTGGACCTATCTGAACACTTGTGAGCATGAGCTTCGTAGTGGTCATTTTGGCTGCTCAGTGGCTCTCTATGCTGGCTTCTTGGTGTGCTCCAGATGTTGAGTTTGATGGCAAAATAAATTCTGGACTAAAAACGTGATACTATAATTAGGCTGGGCACGGTGGTTCATGCCTGTATCTCAGCACCTTGGGAGGCTGAGGTGGGCAGACAGCTAGAGGTCATGAGTTTGAGACCAGCCTGGCCAACGTGGTAAAACCCCATCTTTACTAAAAATACAAAAAATTAGCCAGGCATAGTGGTATGTGCCCGTAATCCCAGCTACTCAGAATGCTGAGACACCAGAATCACTTGAACCCAGGAGGAGGAGGTTGCAGTGAGCCGAGATCGCACAACTGTACTCTAGCCTGTGTGCAGAGCAAGACTCTGTCTCAAAATAAAAAACAGAGATACCATAATTTGATCACTTAATGATCTATGCCTTAGCTTCTTTATGCTTTCCCTACACATATTTAGTATGTTTATGTTTTCAACAAGTACTATGTGTATGTGGACTTAAAAAAAATCACGCCACAAAACCTAAGCACCAATATTATGTTTTAAAGTCTGAGCTTTTGCTTTCTTCTCCATGGATGTATACTTCAGCCATGCCTATTTCTTTGTGTTCATTTTGTCTGGAAACTATTAAAATAATTTACTTAAATCAGACTGACATAAGTTTGCAAAAATATTAATTGCATAAAACCTTCTAAATAGATGTTTAGAAGTAAAAATAAATACCAGATGTTCCCATTAAGTGTTACTGTGACTCTTGCTACTTTCTAAGTGTCATTATTCACCTATCAAAAAAGAATCAAATTTTACTTTACAGTAATATTGTTTAGAAGCTTCATTTAAGACTTGTAATACAACCCATAAGAAATGGAAGCAAATAATTTAATAGTGATTTATCTTCCTTAGCATTTTTAACTAGAAAAACAATTCGAAAACACAATGCTACGTGAACAGATCACTATAATGAACAGAGATTAATCACTGTGCCTGTTGTACATTAAATTATTTTTCCAGAGACATTTTGGGTGATTAAAGTGGAAAGGTAAGAGTGTTTCCAGCTAAATTCAATTATAAACAAACTAGAGACACTATATGGAAAACAGTAAAGGTTCTGACTTTAATCTCGAAACGAAACAAAATCAATTTAAATAAAAACAACTCTGATTTGATTAAGGGAAGAGAGCCGAGCTTTTGCTAATAAATAAATAACAATAAAATTTGGTAGGCTGGGCAAGGTGGCTCATGCCTGTAATCCCAGCACTTTGGTAGGCGAAGGCAGGTGAATCACTTGAAATCAGGAGTTTGAGACCAGCCTGGCCAAGATGGTGACACCCCGTCTCTACCAAAACTACAAACATTAGCCAGGCGTGGTGGCGCATACCTGTAATCCCAACTACTCAGGAGACTGAGGCACGAGAATCATTTGAACTCAAGAGGTGGAGGTTGCAGTGAGCTAAGATCACACCACTGCACTCCACCCTGGACAACAGAGCGAGATTCTGTCTCAAAAAAAAAAAAAAAAAAAAAATGGAAAGACTACTGTTTTCATGAATTTGAGGGGCATGTGTGTGTGTATGTTTGTGTTTAGTACAGGCAGGGTTTCACCATTTTGGCCAGGCTGGTCCTGAACTCCTGACCTCAAGTGATACTTCTGCCTCAGCCTCCCAAAGTGACTGATTACAGGCATGAGTTACCACGCCTAACCCTGTGTTCATGAATTGGAAGGCACAGTCTATTAGTAAAGATGTCAAGGGCCGGGCGCAGTGGCTCAAGCCTGTAATCCCAGCACTTTGGGAGGCCGAGGCGGGTGGATCACGAGGTCAAGAGATCGAGACCATCCTGGTCAACACGGTGAAACCCCGTCTCTACTAAAAATACAAAAAATTAGCTGGGCATGGTGGCACGTGCCTGTAATCCCAGCTACTCAGGAGGCTGAGGCAGGAGAATTGCCTGAACCCAGGAGGCGGAGGTTGCGGTGAGCCGAGATCGCGCCATTGCACTCCAGCCTGGGTAACAAGAGCGAAACTCTGTCTCAAAAAAAAAAAAGATGTCAATTATCCCCAAATTGATCTGTAGGCTTAATGTCATTCCTGTCAAAACCCCAGCAAGGGTTTTTGTAGACATAGATAAACTTATTCTAAAACTTATATGGAAAGGCACAAGTCCTAGAAAAGCTAAAATAATCTTTTTTAGAAAAGATAAAATGGAAAGAATCGCTCTGGCTGATATTAAGGCTTACTATATTGCTATAGTAATCAACATGGTGTGGTACTGATGGAAGGTCAGATGCGTAGATCAATGGAATAGAATAGAGAATCCAAAAGGCTGGGCACAGTGGCTCACGCTTATAATCCCAGCATTTCAGGAGGCTGTGGCGGGTGGGTCACTTGGGGCCAGGAGTTCAAGGCCAGCCTGGCCAACATATTGACACCCATCTCTACTAAAAATACAAAAGTTAGCCAGGCGTGGTGGTGCATATCTGTAATCCCAGCTACTAGAGAGCGTGAGGCATGAAAATCACTTGAACCTGGGAGGTGGAGGTTGCAGTGAGCTGAGATTGCACCACTGCATTCCAGCCTGAGCAAGAGTGAGACTCTGTCTCAAAAGAAAAACAAACAAAAATAGACTCACATGTTTACTATGCAAATGTTTTCTTACTGTGCATTTTGTCATTGTCATATTCTATTACGTCTGCCATATCCTCTTACAGATGCTTTCAATATGCTGTTCTATTTTTTCAGTTTTTGTTGTTGTTATGTTTTTGTTTTGTTTTGCATTTAACTCTTACTTATCCAAAAAAAATTTTTTTTTGCAGGGTCTGATGTGAAGTACAAATCCAAGTTAGTTCTTCTCTATACCAACAGGTTGTACCTATGGCATTTATTAAATTGTTCCACTATCTGGTGGGTTTTTCTGTTGGTTTGTTCATTTGTTGTTTTGAGATGAAGTCTTGCTCTGTCACCCAGGCTAGAGTGCAACGCCACGATCTCAGCTCACTGCAACCTCCACCTCCCAGGTTCAAGTGATTCTCCTGCCTTAGCCTCCTGAGTGTCTGGGATTACAGGCAGGTACCACCACGCCTGGCTAATTTTTTTGTATTTTTAGTGGAGACGGGGTTTCACCATGTTGGCCAGGCTGGTCTCGAACTCCTGACCTCAAGTGATCTACCCACCTCGGCCTCCCAAAGTGCTGGGATTATAGACATGAGCCACCACACCTGGCCCAGTATCTGTTATTTGGCCATTTTTATTTTGTCACAGATTCAGTTCTCCGTGTTTTAAATCTTTTTCTAGAATCTTTCCTATTTAGTTGATAAGTTCCTTGTTTTAGAGCCAGTTATATAGAATACTGGTTGTCACAGCAGTATATTCACCCCTTGACATTTGTAGGAAATACAGAAATATTTGTTTAGGCTTCTGAACTTTTCTAGAATCACAGTTCTTGCCAGAGTTATGCTTATTATGCATATATTCATACCTTTTCAACTCTCACTAAAGTTTATTGTTTCACTTTATACAGAAGAACAATTTTTTTTATCACTCTACTGGATTTACTTCTTCTTTCGTAACAGGAAAAGAAGAGTAAAAGCCAAACACTCAAAAGCTGTGAGTCCTGAGATGTTGGATCAGTTCCCTTGCTGGCTAAGTGACTTGCCACAGATAATAACCTTGTAATAACCTTTGAAATCATTCCTCAGGAAATCACATATGGCTAGACAAGTTACTCTATCGTTCTAATTTTTCTGGGAAGAGTCAAAACTGCAAATATTGGACCTAAGAATATTAAGGGCTAATTTTAAAATCTGGTAGATCAAATCCAGCTTGGTTCTTTGAAAAATGTTTCTTTTTTTTAAATTGTATTTTAAGTTCTGGGGTACATGTGCAGAACATGCAGGTTTGTTAAATAGGTATACACTGAAAAATGTTCTTTTTTGAAGTCTTTCCTGCTTATATTCCAGGCTCTTATCCTTTAGACAATCTTTCATTTAACTCTCTAAGCACTTGAAAATTCTTGCCTGCTGTGTATTCAACCCATACATTTTTTTTTTTTTTCCTAGAGACAGGGTGTCACTCTGTCACCTAGGCTGGAGTGCAGTGGTGCAATCATAGATCCCTGAAGCCTTGAATTCCTGGGCTCACAGCATCCTCCTGCCTCAACCTCCTGAGTAGCTGGGACTATAGATGTGCATGCCTGGCTAATTTTTTATTTTTTGTAGGGGTGAGGGTCTTGCTATGTTGCCCAGGCTGTTCTCAAATTCCTGGTCTCAAGCGATGCTCCTGCCTCAGCCTTCCAAATAACCTATAGTTTTACAATTCACAGGTATAGCAGGCTTTGTGACTGTGGTGTCCTATGGTCTTTACAAATTAAAGTATAGAAGAGATCAGAAAATGTCACTTCATCTTATTCACATGAGAGTTGCTGCCCAAGGATTTGTTGTCGGAGCTGTGACTCTAGGTAACCTGCTTTATTTGTACCTTATGTTCAGCTGTCCTTGAGAATATATTTACTTATTTTATTCATGCATAGTAGAAGATGATTACTGGGTCAACAAAAAAAAAAAGCTGGGTGGTGGCACATGCCTATAATCCCAGCTACTAGGGAGGCTAAGGCAGGACCATCACTTGAACCTGAGAGGCGGAGGTTACAGTGAGCTGAGCTCGTACCATTGCATTCCAGCCTGGGCAACAAGAGTGAAGCTCCATCAGAAAAAAAAAAAAAAAAAAAAAAGCTGGGTGTGGTGGCTCTCTCTCAACACTTTGGGAGGCTGGGGCGGAGAGATCACTTGAGGTCAGGAGTTCAAGACCAGCCTGGCCAACACTCACCTCTACTAAAAAATACAAAAATTAGCCAGGTGTGGTGGCGTGCACTTGTAGTCCCAACTACTCAGGAGGCTGAGGCAGAAGAATCGCTTGAACCTGGGAGGTGGAGGTTGCAGTGAGCTGAGATCACGCCACTGCACTCCAGCCTGAGCATCAGGGCAAGACTCCGTCTCAAAAAAAAAAAAAAAAAGAAATAGCACAGGTTGCTATGGTAGCACAAACATAAGGGAGTGGTATTTAACAAGGGCTGGGAGGCTAGGGGAGGCAACTCTAAGGATGTAAATCATGTGCTGAACTAAGAATAAGGAGGAATTAACTAAGCAGAGAAGGAGCTAAAGATTCTAGGCAGAGGAAAAAACAAAGGCACAGAAGCACGGCATGTAAGTGGAAAACTACATAGCTTGGTAGGTGAATCAGTGTTTGATGAGAAAAGCAAAACTACTAGTAGTAATATTTAGTGAGGGATTTATTACAGGTATTTAGCCTTATATAATTATGAGGCCCTTGCATATGATTCTGGAGCTTGGGCCTGAAGTGAGCAGGGAAAGGAATTAGAGAAGGAAAGTAGGCCCAGCGTGGTGGGTCACCCCCTGTAATCCCAGCACTTTGGGAGGCTGAGGCGAGGGATCACTTGAGGTCAGGAGTTCAGCCTCAAATGGTCCACCTGCCTCAGCCTCTCAAAGCGTTGGGATTGTGGGCATGAGCCACTGGACCCGGCCTTTATTTTTTGTAGAAACCAGGTTCTCAATTCATTGCCTAAGCTGGTCTTGAACTCCGCCTCAGCCTCCCAAAGTGCTGGGATAACAGGCATAAGCCACCATGCCTGGCTTAATTTAAGAAACTATTTTACTACTACATCACATGGACTGTTAGTATCCTCTTTATCACTGAAAACATGGCCATTAATGCCTTTAAATCTAAATAGATCAGAGAACCAATTCTGGATAACCCAAAACCACTTCAGAGAATCTATCATCAGGGTTCTGTTCCTCTGGAAGCACTTCTAATTCCAAACTGTATCAGTCAGGATTCAGACAAGCAAAACTACCAGTAGTGATATATAAAAAGCAGTTTAGGCTGGGTGTGGTGGCTCATGCCTGTAACCTCAGCATTTTGGGAGTCCGAGGCAGGAGGATCACTTGAGCCCAAAAGTTTGAGACCAGACTGGGCAATATGGCGAATACCCTGTTTCTACAAAAAATTAAGAAGTTAGCCAGGCAGGTCTCATCCACCTGTGGTCCCAGCTACTCGGAAGGCTGAGATGAGAGGATGGCTTAAACCCAGAAGATCAAGGCTGCAGTGAGCCTTGCTCACACCACTGCACTCCAGCCTTGACCACAGAGCAAGACATTGTCTCAAATAATAATAATAATAATAAAAGAAGGAAGAAGAGAAGAAAGAGGATGAAGAGGAGGAGGAGAAGGAGAATGAAAAGGAAGAGACAGGAGGAAAAGAAGGGAGTTATTACAGAGATATGACCTTAAAACATTTTTGGAGTTGGCTAAACAGTCCATGCGAGGCTGTTGCTTATGTTTCTAATACTGGGGCCCGAAGTCAGCAAATCAACAGTTGAGAAGGAAAGATAAACAGGAATTTGCAAGGATGAGCCAGAACTGACAAAAGGATGAGGCAGACTCACCTTACAGTAATCTCTACTCCAGTTCCACCGGTTTTTTTCTTTGGAGAGACAGGGTCTTGCTCTGTCATCCAGGCTAGACTGCAGTGGTACAATCACGGTTCACTGTAGCCTCAAATTCCTGGGCTCAAGTGATCCTCCCACCTCAGCTTCCCTAGTAGCTAGAATCATAGGCATGCGCCACCATGCCCAGCTAATTTTTTTGTTCTGTTTTCTTTCTTTTCTTTTCCACATCAATAGAAGATTCCTTGTGAATGTTCCGTTTTTTTTTGAGATGGAGTCTCGCTCTGTCGCCCAGGCTGGAGTGCAATGGCACAAACTCAGCTCACTGCAACCTCTGCTTCCCAGGTTCAAGCAATTCCCATGCCTCAGACTCCCAAGTAGCTGGGATTATAGGCACCTGCCACCACACCTGGCTAATTTTTGTATTCTTAGTAGAGACAGGGTTTTGTCATGTTGGCCAGGCTAGTTTGAACTCCTGACCTCAGGTAATCCACCCTCCCAAAGCGCTGGGATTACAGGTATAAGCCACCATGCCCGGCCCTTTTTAAATTTTTTTGTAGAGATGAGTCTTGCTATTTTAACTAGGCTAGTCTCTAACTCCTACCCTTAAGTTACCCTCCTCCCTTGGCCTTCCAAAGTGCTGGGATTATAGGCATAAACCCTCACCACCCACCTGCATTTCTATTGTTTATAAATAAATGCACATTTTGGCGTGGCACAGTGGCTCACACCTATAATCCCAGCACTTTGGGAGGTCGAGGCAGGTGGATCACCTGAGGTCAGGAGTTTGAGACCAGCCTGGCAACATGGTAAAACCCCATCTCTACCAAAAATACAAAATTACTCGGGTGTGGTGGCACACACCTATAGTTCCAGCTACTCAGAAGGCTGAGACAGGAGAGCTTCTTGAATCTGGGAGGTGGAGGCTACAGTGAGCCAAGATTGTGCCACTGCAAACCAGCCTGGGCGAGACAGAGCAAGACTCTGTCTCAAAAATAAATAAATGAATGCACATTTTGAGAGGCATGCTCAACATATTTACTTAAGTAAATTTGGAAAGTTTGGAGACCATCTACCTATGTGATGTGGAAATGTCATATGTAAGGCCAGGCACAATGGCTCACACCTGTAACCCCAGCACTTTGGGAAGCCAAAGCGAGTGGATCACCTGAGGTCAGGAGTTCAAGACCAGCCTGGCCAACATGGCAAAATCCCATCTCTACCAAAAATATAAAAATTAGCTGGGCATGGTGGGGGGTGCCTTTCATCCCAGTTACTCGGGAGCCTGAGGCAGGAGAATTGCTTGAACCTGGGAGGCGGAGGTTGCAGTGAACAGAGATCATGCCATTGCACCACTCCAGCCTGGATGACAAGAGCAAGATTCCATCTCAAAAAAAAAAAAAAAAAAAAAGTCATATGTACAATAATGAATATATGGGTTTCACACTCAGAAGAGAGATCTAATTTTGAAATCTGACACCTTGATAACTGAGATAGGTATGGGCTGGTGGTGGTGATGTGTGAGTTGTAGTTTAAATCTGTGACTCCCTAACTTGCTTTTGGGTGTCAACGTTTGCTGACATCTTTGGAACTCACTAAAGCAGCTCCTCTCTTCCTCATCTTATTTCCCCTAGCTACTTCCCCCACATGCCTAGGACTCTGTGGAAGCCATACATATCATCAATCTAAACTCATAGGCAATTCACCCACTAGATCATAAATCCCTAGAAGCAGGAATTAGATCCATTCACCATTTGTTTTTCTCAGGATACTGAGTACAAACAAAGACTGAATAAATGTTTGCTAACTGAGATGACTACTATTTTTATCTTAACGTCTGGTCAAATTTGCCCGCTTTCCTAGTATTTCACCAACATTTTGCTGGCATAATAACATCATAAATTTATTAGTATCCATTTTAAAGGGCTCCTAGAGTTTTGTTTTTTTCTAGAGTCACTTGTATGATCCAAACCAAAAACTAATAAAAAGGAGGGCCTTTGTTTGCTTCTGTTTAAATTGGGGGCTAGTTTCATAAAAATACAACAAATGGAAGAAATTCAGTGTTTTTTCCCCCATGGATACTCAATTAATATACATCTTTCTGTTTCTAGGTGTTCTTTACTCTATGTATAAGGATCACATTAGACCTAGATTCTTCAGTGAGTCCAAAAAATGAAGCTACGCGCTGGAAGCAAGAAAGACAAAGCTTCTGAAAACAATTTATTATGAAGAGTAAATTTTCAATATGTAGCAAATTTTACTACAGAAGTATCACAGAATGCTCACGTACTTCAAGTCTTAATGTTTGAAGTTGATTTCCAGATCAACAATCATAAACAGTCAACTCAGAAATATCTCTTGTTGATGTCTTTCAGAACCTAGAGCATTATTTTCTGACTTAATTTTTTTTTTATTTTTTAGTTAGTGGCAGAAAATAATCTGCCACTAATCTGTCAAACTAATGATAGTCTGCCAAACCAATCTGAAAATTAATAGCTATATAGTAGTTACAGAAGACTTCTCTTTTCTTTTTTTTTTTTTTTTTGAGATGGAGTCTCGTTCTGTAGCCCAGGCTGGAGAGCAGTGGTATGATCTCAGCTTACTGCAGCCTCCGCCTCCCAGGTTCAAGACATTCTCCTGCCTCAGGCTCCCGAGTAACTGAGATTACAGGCACCCACCATCATGGGTGGCTAAATTTTGTATTTTTAGTAGAAACAGGGTTTCACCATGTTGGCCAGACTGGTCTCAAACTTCTGACCTCATGTGATCCACCCACCTTGGCCTCCCTAAGTGCCGGGATTAGAGGTGTAAGCCACTGCACCTGGCCACAGAAGACTTTTTTTTTTTTTTTTGAGACAGAGTTTCGCTCTTGTTACCCAGGCTGGAGTGCAATGGCACGATCTCGGCTCACTGCAACCTCCACCTCCTGGGTTCAAGCAATTCTCCTGCCTCAGCCTCCTGAGTAGCTGGGACTACAGGCGTGCGCCACCATGCAGAGCTAATTTTTGTATTTTTAGTAGAGACGGGTTTCACCTTGTTGACCAGGATGGTCTCGATCTCTTGACCTCATGATCCACCTGTCTTGGCCTCCCAAAGTGCTGGGATTATAGGCGTGAGCCACCATGCCCGGCCAGACTTTTCTATATGTTAAATGTGACACCCTATTCATGACTAAATTCTCCCCAAATAGGGCAAAGCAATTAAAGTTTCATAAACTCCTTTTTAGAATGGGTAATAATTACACCAGAGGAGAATGGTCATGTTGCTATACAAAGTTGGTTCACCACTTTACATCTCATTCTTATATAGAAAATTGACTATTTTACCCCAAACATATGTTTAACATTTAATTATTTATTCATTTTTAGATTTCTTCAAAGTATTCCTAGGAATACAAAAGTGAACTACAAACAAATTTCTTTTCCCTGAGATGGCAAAAAGGATTTAGTCCAGAAGTGCTATTGCTAATGTGGTACGACACTGTAGAAAACACAGGAAATCAAAGCAGGTGTTAAAGGTTAAGTATGCCTGCGGCTTTGAACTCCTGTCTAACTGCCCTCAGGGTCTAAAAAATCATCTAGGGTTTTTTGAAGACATAACTGCTTTAAGCTTAATCCCAAAGAATCCAAGCCTAGGAGAGAAAAAAAAAAGTCACTGAAATAAAATCAAGAATATATGCAATAGAAGTTGATTTCTGGTGGTGATTTCCTTTTCCTCAGTGTTTCCTATAATGGAGGGTGACACTGACGAGAAGGTGAAGTCCAGTATTTGTGGACAAGAAAAACATGAAAATGTCTGCATTCTGGATGTTAACTCACTATTCTGTGTATTATATAAATTTTTCTTCACTGGCACAGATAATTATTTTAAAAGTTGTCAACGGCTGGGTACGGTAGCTCATGCCTCTAATCCCAGCACTTTGGGAGGCTGAGGTGGGTGGATCACCTGGGGTCAAAAGTTGAAGACCAGCCTAACCAACATGGAGAAACCCCGTCTCTACCAGAAATACAAAATTAGCCGGGCGTGGTGGCGCATGCCTGTAATCCTAGCTACTTGGGAGGATAAGGCAGGAGAACTGCTTGAACCCGAGAGGTGTAGGCTGTAGTAAGCTGAGATCACACCATCACACTCTGGCCTGGGTGACAGAGCAAGACTCCATCTTAAAAAAAAAAAGAAAAGAAAAAAAGCTGTCAATTGTACCTATCATGAAGTTGTTCTAGTGCTACCAACAAGTACACATATTTTGGTCAACACTGTCCTCTTTGGAAAATAGGCAAGGAAATAATCCAACTGCTTTATTCCATTAGAGTAAATATTCCAGCAGCTGGATCTAATATGTTCCATTAAGGTCAGGAAAATTGAGGATAGCTGGCATAGAAATAAATCATCCTTTCATGTTCGTTGTGCAATGAAAAGTATTTCTAACCAGGCTACTGGAAAGATTCTACCTTCTCAATATATACTCAGCACTAAAAATAATTAAGAGTTTAATTAGAAATCAGCTTTTCTTACAAAACCCAATAGGTTCCACAATTTTGTAATGTTACGCTGAGAGAGCTAAAGTAATATATTTGTTGCTTGAAAAAAGCAATGCAAAGTATTCATTTGTTAAGAATAGCTATGCATGAGAACCTACAAACTGTGTTTAAATTAAAATGTAAAATCACATTTGGAGAAAAGTTAGGAAGTATGCAGGATGTGAATTTACCCACTTCAGCTTGGGTAAAGTGGGAGGGTCACTGCATGAAGACCTTTTAAACAGATAACATAACAATATGTGACTTTCTGGGCAAAGCGTTACTGGCCTCATGTTGTAATGTCTGAAACTGAGAAGGCTGTTTGTATCAGCTACCACAACCCCGCCTCTCTTATTAATGAAACTACTTCACATGCATATACGTTCCGCCTGCCTTTTATATTAGGCTGGCACACAGTTATGTAGCAGCGACTGCCCAGTAACAATTACTTAATTGCATTTTTTCTTGACATTCTGTGTATACATTGTCATAGCATCCTTTTACAGACTGACTCCATCGTGCTGAACTCCAGAAATTAAGTAAATCCACTCAGTTTGTTCTTAAGATTGAATATATTCATATTCATATAGTAATCTAGATTACTATAAGTGTATAAGTACGCTTATACACTTATAGTAATCTAGTTTGTATACCACAAATTGGAGAGTGATTAAATATTCTTAATTTAGAAAAAAGCTTACTCAGGCCGGGCGCGGTGGCTCAAGCCTGTAATCCCAGCACTTTGGGAGGCCAAGGCAGGTGGATCACGAGGTCAAGAGATCAAGACCATCCTGGTCAACATGGTGAAACCCCGTCTCTACTAAAAATACAAAAAATTAGCTGGGCATGGTGGCGCGCGCCTGTAATCCCAGCTACTCAGGAGGCTGAGGCAGGAGAATTGCCTGAACCCAGGAGGCGGAGGTTGCGGTGAGTCGAGATCGCGCCATTGCACTCCAGCCTGGGTAACATGAGTGAAACTCTGAAAAAAAAAAAAAAAAAGCTTACTCAGTTGAGTGCAGTGGCTCATGCCTATAATCCCAGCACTCTGGGAGTCTGAGGTGGATGGATCACCTAAGGTTGGGAGTTCACGACCAGCCTGACCAACATAGAGAAACCCCGTCTCTACTAAACATACAAAATTAGTCAGGCGTGGTGGCGCATGCCTGTAATCCCAGCTACTCGGGAGGCTGAGGCAGGAGAATCACTTGAATCCAGGAGGCAGAGGTTGCAGTGAGCCGAGATTGTGTCATTGCACTTCAGCCTGAGCAACAAAAGTGAGACTCCATCTTAAAAAAAAAAAAGAATGAAAAAGAAAAAAGCTTACCCAAGACTCACTTTTTTTTTTTTTTTTTTTTTTTCTTCAGATGGGGTCTCATTCTGTTTCCAGGCTGAAGTGCAGTGGCACAATCTCGGCTTACTGCAACCTCCACTTCTCGTGTCCAAGTGATTCTCCTGCCTCAGCCTCCTGAGTAGCTTGTTTTACAGGTGTGCGCCACCATGCCCAGCTAATTTTTGTATTTTTATTAGAGATGGGGTTTCACCATGTTGGTCAGGTTGGTCTCAAACTCCTGACCTTGTGATCCATCTGCCTTGGCCTCCTGAAGTGCTGGGATTATAGGCATGAGCCACAGCGCCCAGCCTCAGTGTGCTTTATTAAGAAATTTTCTGATTACAGGAGTTGTGTGGCCTGATGGGTACACTTGTAAACCTGTATTCTCTGTTCTTAATAACATACAGTTAAGGAATGGAAAAGAGCTATAGAAATTCCGTTAGTACTTAACCAATCACCTCACCTTTTTATGAGTTTCAAAACAGGATGCTTTTATTTTTTACCCTCCTTTCCCCAAACACTCTCTGGTAATGAAACTACTGAGAAATAAAACTGCCCAGGGAGGTGGTGGAAATCCAACAAACTGGATTTTTTTTGGTTCATCTGGAGTTGTTTTCTTTTATCAAGAAACCAAAATACTGAAACTTGTTCTAAGAGTGTCTCTTTCGTGGCCGGGCGCGGTGGCTCACGCCTATAATCCCAGCACTTTGGGAGGCCGAGACGGGTGGATCATGAGGTCAAGAGATCGAGACCATCCTGGTCAACATGATGAAACCCCGCCTCTACTAAAAATACAAAAATTAGCTGGGCATGGTGGCGCATGCCTGTAGTCCCAGCTACTCGGGAGACTGAGGCAGGAGAAGTGCTTGAACCCAGGAGGCGGAGGTTGCGGTGAGCCAAGATCGCGCCATTGCACACCAGCCTGGGTAACAAAGAGCGAAACCCTGTCTCAAAAAAAAAAAAAAAGAGTCTCTCTTTCAAGTAAAAGCGTAAATTGATGTTAATTCAGTCTCAATTTTAAGATCAGGATTATAACCTAAGTTGCAGAGTTGGCTGCTCTTTTTATCTGAAGTTTCAAGAGGCCCTGAAGTAGAAATGAGAAAATTTTAAAGTGTCATTTTAGAAAAATTCCTGCCATTTTAAGGGCCAAACAATTATAAATGAAGATAGGCAATGTCTGGATTTTTTAAAAAGTTTTATTGAAATGTAGTAAGTTCTGAAATAAGGCAGAGAGGTCATATATTTAATGCTCAAAGGGGAAAGTGAAGCACAAAGTCACACAAAGGCTGCAGGATTTGCAGGTGTTGAACCTTTGGGGCTAGAAAGAAATAAGGAGTGAGCTGGATGTGGTGGCTCATGCCTATAATCCCAGCACTTTGGGAGGCCAAGGCTGGCAGATTGCTTGAGCTCACAAGTTCAAGGCTGGCCTGGGCAACATGGTGAAACCCCGTCTCTACAAAAAATACAAAAACTAGCTGGGCATGGTGGTGTGTGCCTGCTGTCCCAGCTACCTGGTAGGCTGAAGTGGGCGGATGGCTTGAGCCCAGGAGGCAGAAGTTGC